GCCAAAGTCCTCACCAATAGTTAGTCACGAGAAACTGCACCTATATAAATAATTTTGGGATCCCTGTGCATTTTGATCTGTTTCGACGAGGGTGGTTTTTGGGAGTGGATAAGTGGATTATGTAAAATGTGATAAGCTTTTCGAGGTTGTGTATGGAGGTTAATCGAAGATCAGTTGACCGCAGTGGTCCGCCTACTCTACGACAAGCGAGCGCCCTATATGATTTGAAGGTGGAGTATTTGTGGAAGCTAGTAGCTCATGGAAGTACGGAATCACAGGGGTGTAAACACAGACTGCTTCCTGCGCTATATCACGTCTTCATTTTGTTAACGTAAGTAGTCAATGAGAACAACATATGATTCACTTTTTCTTCATTCACGACAATTCAAAATGAATTAACTTCAACAAGGCAAACAGCTACTACAGATATTCTGATCATAAAAAGTCAACTTGGTAATTAGCGAGGATGCATTATTCCCCTGCCACCGTCAACTCTCAATAGTTCACCAGTAGTGAAGGAACTTTTTTCCGAAGCCAGGAAAAAAACAGCCTCTGCTACTTCTGATGCTTCCCCGACACGGCCTAGGGCATGTGTAGCCTTTCCTTTCTCAAGGAACTAAAAAATCATCTTGAGACAGCAAGAAGAAGACTATGGGTGCTCTTACCTTTTCGTAGCTTTCATCATCCATTCCAGCTCTTTTGTGTACATTTGTAACAATGACTCCGGGACTAAAATGCCGTGTTTAGATACGATCCTTGCTGTAAAGGGCAACAATTCTTACTTCACGGCATTAACGCGAACTCCATGCGGTGCCATTTCCAACGCAAGACATTTAGTGAACTGGTCCAACGCAGCTTTTGACATACAGTAGTACGTGACACCAGGAAACTGAAATTTTCCTATTGTGCAGCTCACCGACTTTCACCAGGCAAACAAGATTTCGCTTATTGATTCCCAGTATACTAAACGAAGAATATAACGACTCACGGGGCATGGGCCAGTAATGCTGGAAACGTTAACCACAGTTCCTTTCGTCTCGATTATATGTGGAAGGGCTAGCTTAGTTAATCGCA